CGAATCTTGTAGCGACGTTTTCAACTTTTTCGTCGCCAATCAAAAAAAAAAATAGCCTTGCGACGTTTTTGTTACAGAAACGTCGCTACAGAAAAGCGGGAATTTTTCTATAATGATTTTGCTATTATATTTGCGACGAATACGATATTGTCGTCGCTACTAATAAATATTATTTAATATTTCCTCTTTATTACGCTACGTTATTCTTATTCGTCGCCAACTCAATAAAATGTTTTTTTTTTCACAATTGCCTAGCGACGAATACGTAATATTCGTCGCGAAAGTAAAAAAATAAATTGCAAAAAATATTTTTCATGCGTCGTTTATATAAAAACGTAGCTACGAAAGTGCTTTATTATTTTTTTTCCCCTTTGCGACGTTTTATTGACATTAGTCGCATCATGGCGACGATTACGGTTATCGTCGCGAGATATTCCATCGAAATCTTATTTTTCCGATATCTTGCGACGTTTTTTAGTCAAAATGGTCGCAAACTAGCGACGATTCCGGAATCGTCGCCAAAAAAAACGTCGCAAGTGAGCTGTTTTGGCCTAGTGGACGACGACTTTATGGAGATGCCACCACCGCGTCGGCGACCGGGTGGGACGAGTGGCACTTCGAGGAGGTCTAGGGGTAGACAGTAGACGGCTTTTGTTTGACATTTATTTGTTTTTTCTGACATTTGGGTATGTTTTGTATTTGTTTGACATTTATTTGTTTTTTCTGACATTTGGCTATGTTTTGTATTTGTTTGACATTTATGTTATTTTTGTTTGACTATTTTATTTATGGTATTTCCATCTAAAATAATACAAGGTCCAAACATACAAACTAAAATAAAATAATACAAGGTCCAAATACATACCAACTAAAATAAAATAATACAAGGTCCAAATACATACCAACTAAAATAAAATAATACAAGGTCCAAAATACATACCAACTAAAATAAAATAATACAAGGTCCAAATACATACCAACTAAGATAAAATAATACAAGGTCCAAATACATACCAACTAACATAAAATAATACAAGGACCTATCCCAACCTAGATAAACGACGCCACATGTATATGCGGCTCTAACATGTCGCCACTGTGGAGTGATAGGTGGTAGAGGACAATTAACAGGTAACTGGATAAGGACAAAATGGTCTCCTAACAACACCATATGGATCATATGGGATAATTCACCCGGACCAACTAGAGGTAAGTAGGTTATATTTCCGCCAATGGCGTATAAAACCAGAGCCGCATTGTATTTAGTCGCTATCGACATTCCCATATCCGGAAATGACATCCATTTGTCCCGACTGCACGGTCCTTCTTGCCAATCGCATTTTTCTATCCATCGGATGACTTCATCTTGACCATTTTGCGATGCGTACGTACCAAAATGCTCGTACATATCGGCAATCAAATCTCTCCTTACACGACTCCATCTGTTCTGATCTCGGAACACTGCTTCTGCAACACATCTGTACCCAAAATTTCCATCTGCTACAACATTAACATACGACACAATAGATCCTGCCACAAAACCTGGGATGTAAGATCTGAAATTGAGCTCATCGCCCGGTTCCTTTCGAGGCATTGGCGTACGATTCTGATTGGCAGTGGATTCATCACTTGATCTACCACTCCCTCGACCCCGCCCCCGTCCACGACCAGAACCGGGATCGGTTACATTCGATGGTGGGGTTCCGGTAGAAGTATTTTTTCGACCCTTAGAACCTGCAGACGATTTACCCTTTTCTTCACCAGTAGACGGCTTCCGCTGGAATGGTGGGAACTCCCAACCGGATTTATCTCTCTTCGTCGGTTTATCCTTTGGCCTTCCTTTCGGTATAACATATGCAGGCTCTGCCAAATGGGTGGTGTCTGGATGAATAGTGCTATTCATGTAATCAGCAGTCATCTTTTGAGTCATATAATCTTTTTCTAACACTTCCGTGGCTAGTCTGATTATTCGGTCTCTCATATTTGTTTCACGATCCATCTGTGCTTCGGGTATTTCTGGTTCTTCAACGTGCATGGTACTCCAAAATGGATGTAGATCCATACATATAAATGTATCACGTTGCTGGATTTTCAACGCAATTCGGCATGCACAAGGAAGTGCATGGGTATCCCACAAAACGTGATCACAAAGAGATGGGTCTTCAAACCCCGGTTTTTTGAGCTCATCATCAAGCAAATTTAATGCTTTATGTGTGACTTTGCATATCAAACCCTGAAATACCGGATACGATGATGAGTGCAATCGGATTAAACTGCATTTTGAAAACTCACCCTTGATCTTGGTTAGTTGATACTCAACCCCGGAGTCGAGCTGATATTGAATGGTGTTCACACCACCGGTAGAAGCATTAATCCAACCCTTCGACGATTTATGAGCACTTTCCACCCTGTTAATAGCCATTAAAATAACAACTAATAAATAAAAACGCCCACAATATAATATAAAATACAAGACGATAATGAAACCCAACATACCTAGATGTCGACGTGTTCCCAAAATGCAAAATCTTATTAGTCCATGCTTTGACGAATTTGTGCTTGTAAATTAGCCAAGTATCGTCAAGGTATGATATCAATTTGGGATAACAACCATAGCGTCTAACCATATCCTCGTAATTATCATTGTAATCTTCTTCTGTTTTTGATTCCACTAATTTTGCCCACTGTATGCGCCGAAATATAAGCCCGTGTTTAGTACTACCAATAAATCTCGATGCATTTTTTTCCACGTTTCTATTGATGTGAAACAAACACAAGAAATGAGCGGAATCTGGAAATATTAGAGGCATTGCTTTGATAAGTCCCAATTCACGATCCGTCAATATCACATTAGGTACCAGCCCCCCTAAAGCACATTTCAAACAACGCAAAGCCCATTCGTATGTGTTTGCATCTTCATGTGACATGAAAGCAACAGCAATTGTAAAATTCTTACCAACAGGAGTGATTCCAATTATTTCCAAAAGTGGCATCTCATACCTACGTAAATACATAAATATCAAATGCAATCACCATATGTAAAATAGCACAATAATAAATACTAATTAACAACATACCTATTGGTTTTGTAAGTGCAGTCCATCAATATAACGTGAGAGAATAACCGCAAAAGTTTCAACGAAATAGGAGCAGCGAACATCAAATCAGTAAGTGTATCATCACCTTCATTACTTCGATACCAATATTCATATCCAGAATCTTGAAGGTTCGACATCACGTGTTGTATCACAGTCTTCCCCGCCATATTCTCTTTTTTCATCTTCTCAAGTTGGTTGTAGACATGTTTCACGCTCGTTGATGTCTGTGGATTATCCTTTCTCAATCGATCCATAATTAATGCCGGCTTCACGTGACTCCTTCTAAGTAACTTCACTACCTCGTATTCTTCTGGTGTCAAACGACTATCCGGTCCTTGTCCGGTAGGATACGGTAGTATCGGGTGAGTGTGAATGCCACTTTTTAAATTCATTCGCCATAGTCCATCGTTTGAACTTTTGCTACAGTATATACGAAAAGGACATCCACATTTTTTTGTTCCCACATTCCGTGGTATCGCACCTACGGTTCGTTTTTCACGTCCCTCCCCAGACAAATGACATCTAATTACTACATACACGTTTTTCTTGCTTGAAGTTACTATCAATCGATAACCATGAGTAGCACCCATTTTTTTTGCCCATTCCACTAATTCTTTCCCAGTTTCAAACTCAACACCTACATTGAAATGTTGACTCTGATCCTCAGAAGTTGTTGGTGTGTCTTGAGGAACATCGAAACACATGTTGGGATCCTCGTACTCGTTGTACGCTTTGTCACGGTCAGTTGTAAACTCATCGTCAAAATCACCTTCAGTACCCTATTAAGATATAACAAGTAATAATTAGTATATAAATAACAATATTAAAAAAAAAAAAAAAAAAATTTAGGTGTTCCCGTGCCGGAAGGCACGGAGGTTTACTATTCCCGTCCTCTATGGCACGGGAGCACGATATTCCCGTGCTTCACAAGACGGGAGCACGATATTTCCGTGCTCCACAAGACGGGAGCACGATGTTCCCGTGCTCCACAAGACGGGACCTGTATTTTCAATTTTTTTTTTTTTTTTTTAAGTGCTCCCGTGCTGTACAGCACGGGAAACCCTAATTTTTGGGATTCCCGTGCTACACAGCACGTTAGACCCGACGAAAAACCAAAAAAATCCGGGAGTTTCTTCGATTTACCTCGTAAAACTCGTCAGGATCGGTCATATTGTTATATGTTGTCGTCGGGCAGTCGATTTATTAAAAAAACACGAAAATCTTAATTCGGGACTTTTGCTAGTTGAGAGCGTTTTGAGAATTTCAAAAAGTTGGAAAAGTTGAAATGAAAAGGTAGCAAATAAGCATATTTCAGTAAAAGTCCCGCTACAATTAGCATTTCAGTTATTATTATTATTGTGAAGGAAATAGAGAGAATCCTGACTGCTGAGAGAGGGCGGGAGAGGGAGGGAATTATTATACTTTATTTTATTTATTTTATTTTTTTTTCTTTTTTCCTTTCCAAAATTGATTTTGTCTTATTCAATTCAAATTTTCCAGAAACCCAATTTCAAAAGCTGTCACGTACGGCTACTCTACGCCGGCGTTGCGCTGTGTATTTCAATCTCTCTCTCTCTCTCTCTTCCTAACCCTAACTAAGTTCAGAATTTCAATCTCTCTCTGGTTAAACCCTAGTCCCCATCCGAGCTTAGAGATTCAACAATGGCGTTCTTCAAATTGATTCTCTCTACCTCCGTCACCAATCTGAAATGCGCTTCCACGCGCCGCTTCAGCCAACCCATGAGCACCTTCTTTCGGCCGGGATCATACATATACGACCAGATCATCGAGCCATTATCCCCAAGCATAGTCGTAATCCAGAGCTGCTTCTCCGACTCCCTGAAGATTCCCGGTTCCCGCCGCACCGGCGTCGGCGTTTTCCTCGATTCCGCCTCAATTCTCACCTCCGCCCACCTAATCGGACACGTCACCTCCTCCTACGAGCCCAAAATCCTCGACAAACCCGACCGCTTCGAGCACGGTTCCATTATTCACAAAGCTTACCTCGCCCCCACGGTTGCCCATACCGTTGTTGCCCGCCGGCCACTGGAGATAAAACCCGTGGCGGTGAACTTCTCCAGCGACGTCGCCGTACTGAAGGTGGTGGTGCCGCCTCCGCCTGACCAGGAGGAAACCTCTTTCCCTCGCCACCGCTCGATTGCGAATTCTCCCCCTAACAAGGACGATTTGTTGATGTCTATTGCTTATAGGGGCGGTATTGATCATTTGACGTTTGTGGTAACAAATGTTAGGTCGGTTGGAAAAAAGACCTTCAAAGTGAAGGCGCCGTGGCCTCTAGACAACGACTCGGGGTGGATCGAACTCGATGCGTCCAAGTTTAACGGCGGCAATCCTCCCCCGTGCAGTAAAATGTTCAACGGCGGTGGATCGGAGGTTACTGTTTCAATGTCGAGGCTTAACGGATGCCCTTGGTTCAACGTGCGTGGCGAGGTCGTTGGTGTTGGTTCGTGGGAAGTGAGGGATCACCCGTCTGATCCGTATGCTGTGTTTTTCGGAGCGTCTCTTTCGTCCATCAAAGCTGCGGTGGAGTATGCAAATACCAAGAAACCAGAGGACCCGATTGTAATGGATGGATGGATCAAAGGCTCGAATCAGTTCTAGATACGATTGGTAAGGGCTGGTATGGAATATCTCTCGTCTCGTTATATGTTCTTTTATAACCCCTTGATGATAGTTTACATCGCTAAGAATGGCACGCTCGACTTTGCTAAATGTGTGGTGTATCGTGCTTTTAACACATTTTGATCTGATTCGAGTTGATATATATCTTACTATAACGTCTTGTTCGCAAGGGGAATAATCCATATGTATACTATGCTAACTTCTTTGGTTGTTATTCTTGAATACCATCGGAATGAAAAACTTTTAATCTCTAGTTAATGGGTCAATAGTTTGCGATATAGGTTTCCGTAAATCTACTGGTGTAGTTTAGGAATGGGGTTGAATTGCTGTTAAGATCTGCATTGCGAATTTGCTCTGTATATATGAAGAATGTACTTATTTCCGATATGCTACATATCCAAGAACTTCGAAAATGGGAAGAGAATAATTCCTTGGACTGGGAATAAAGCAAATTAGTTGTCTGCACTTAAACGCTTGGATGTTAGAACTTATAAGAATGTCGTAGATGTAGCTGATGTTTGCATCGGCGTTAGAACTTAGTTGTCTACATAATCTTATTGTTTATCGTATCTTTCACTTCTAATTTTTTCACTTTTACTTCATCCAACTACGCCTTCACTTCTATTTTTTTCTGCTATGTTTTGCTCACGTTGATAACACTCTGAAAAACGAATAGTCTGCCCCCACACTCGGTCGTAATTAATTAAGTGTCTCGTCGACATCGAACATTATTTTGATATTGCTCAAGGGTAAACGATCTTTCTAATCGCTGAACAAACAACTCATCTAAAACGTGTCCGCTTAATTTAATGATTCTAACATGTGCCTTAACCGTGCAGGATGAACTATTTTCTTTTGAGGTGTACGTAAACGAGACAACGGTGAGATTAGGACGCAAGAACTTTTCGTGTATAGCGGTCCAATTCTATCTTTTTCGAATTAACAGGGTTTCGCAACTTGAATGATCTCTTTAATTTCTGAATGGTGTATTTAGTGTAACTATCTAATATACATGTGCAGTTATAACAATTTCTCCAGTACTTGAAAAATATACAAGTATATTAATTTTAAGCAATTGTGAATATGTTTGTTTAGTATTATTTAAATAACAAGTGATTCAAATGATGTGTTATAAAGTTAATTGTCTAAGAAATTTCAGGTTAACAAAGTATTAATGTAAATGGCACTTTGTAAAAATGATGTTTTTTTAAAATAAAGATTTTACAAAAATAAGTGGAAACAAAGAAACTAATAATAAATCAATGGAAAATAAAACTAGGTTAAGCCCACCAATTAACCGAACCGAATAACCTCACAACGACGTTGTTTTGAGTTATATATATATAAGTATTTCTACTTAGAATTTCAGCAAATTTCCTAGCTTTCTGCATTGTTTGCACTAATTTTATTTTCTTCGAATTTTAATAAAATTTATGTTTCCATATTCATATTTTTTCTGCTAACAACTATTATTTTGTTTTGCATTAATAATTATATATTTATATGTCACCCCCTATACGAAATCAGTTTGTGTGTGTTGTATTTCCTATTTTGTCCATTAAAATGATAAATACTATGAGGTCAATTACTATTTTGTCCATTAAAATGATAAATATTAATTTGAATAATTAAACATTAAACAAATGCCCATTTTCTTGAAAAAAAAAAAAAAGAGAGAGAGAATATGATCATTTTTCTTCACTGCATTTTTTTAATTCTTGAGTTAATAAGTTTCCCTCCATTTTGATATCTCCGTCATTGAATTTTCCCTCCAAATCCGTCAAATTCATCTTTATTTAATTTTTTATTGATAAATGCCAGCTCATTTAACCTAATCAGTTATACACGGGACCAAAACTCGAAACTCTTATAACTTAGAGGACTAAAATCTCTAAATTAGAAAAGATGCAGGGCTAAAAAACAATTCTACCGTCCTTTTTCCGAATCATAATATTAAAGCTGCTCTACGTACACACTGCTGCCTGCATTTCCTCCCTCGTCTTTATCTCAACAGTCAAAAAAAATTCTCTGTGCTCAGTAAACCCTAGTTATTCAGCTTCAAAAATTTCAGCATCAATGATGTCTTCCAATCTCACGCGCCACCGTCGATCCCGACAGCTCGAGCTCCACTTGGAGCGCCTCTACCAGTCCGTCTTCCCGAGCGTCGTAGCACTGGAGACACACTTCACCGGCCGTGAAAATCGGGATCTCGACCGTCATGTCTTCCACGATACCGGCGTTTTCGTCGATCCGACCACCATCGTCACCTCCGCGAAAGTCGTCGGACGTGTCTTCGCCGACAAACCGGCCGCCGACGGATCCGGCCTCCACAAGGCCTACCTCGCCCACACCATCGTCATCGCCCGCGACAGAAAGCCGGTGAAGACGAAGCCCTCGGCCGTGAGCTTCAGCCACGACGTCGCCGTGCTGAAGGTGGCGCCGCCGCCGGAGGGGGAGGAGGAGCAGATCTCGTACCCTCACTGCACGATCGCGAGTTCCCCGCCGAGCGAGGGCCACGTTCTGTTGGCCATCGTGCACATGTTCAACATGCAGTTCGGAATGATGCCCGGACACGTGAGGGCGGTGGGAGAAAAAACGTTCAAGGCCAAAGCGCCGTGGCCGCTGGACAACAAATCCGGGTGGATGGAGTTCGACAACACTCAGTTCAACGGCGGATTTCCCCGGCCGTGGAGCGATCTGTACAAAAGCGAAGAGGAGATTGTTGGTAGGAGGTCGGGTATAACCGGGAGCCCACTGTTCAACATCGACGGCGAGTTGGTCGGACTTGGGTCGTGGGATGTGGCGGAGGAGGGTTCTTCACATCCGGTGGGTTTCGCCGCCTCTCTCTTGCCGATCATGGTGGCGGTGGAGTACGCAAAGAACAAGAAACCCGGCGACCCCATTGTTATGGATAACTGGATCGATCAAGATTGCTATCCTGATGATTCTGTTAGGATTCTTCCATTCCCCTCTAGGTAATTAATTAATTAATTATATATATTTTTATTTCGTCTCTAATCTAAATTCTAAGCATGCTCAGCTTTTGTTGCTATATATGAAATTTTTGCGATTATATTATTGTTGAATATAGATACAGATCATCATTAATTATAATGGATGCATAGCTGTTCTTGTTAGTTGTTATTGAGTTTGTAGTTTGGGATATGTAGTCTCTGTAAATCTACTAAGTTTAGGATTAATGCAGTTTAACCACTAATACAAAAATCAATTAATTAAGCTCATGAATGCTAATTTGAATGAGGTGCGCTATGTTTGTAATCACTGCGATCTGATCGATTAGTATGCGATCGAGCAAATACGCTGTTTGTTATCAAGAATCATATCGTTTCCTTGATAACACAATACACCCTAAAAAACGAATAGTCTCTCTCTCTCTCTCTCTGGTTATATGTTTAAGCTCACTTAGTTAAACAGAATGTGCTGAATTAATGGTCGATAATTGCTTAATAGTCGCGTACGTTCTGATATAATATAGTATACGTAAGATCGAGTTTCTTCAAAATTATATTTAACATGTGTTTTATATATTGTTGAACTAATAAGTAATAACAACTCATCTAAATATGTGTGTTTGTTTAATTTGATCATTCTAACAATTGTCTGTTATATATGCAGGTGAATTGTTATTATTTTTATTCGGAAAATATGCAGGTGAAATGACTATGTTACCCTTTTGTTTATCATGTCCAATGTTTTAATTATCTTTTGGAAACAAAGACTACCTTTTGTCAGTTATGGCGTTGATTAGATTAATGTTTATTTTAATGGTGCTTATATATATTATATATATATGTCATCAAGTTAATCGAATTTTTAATCATTTTTCTATATGCATAATTTATTCATTATAAATAAATAATTATTTATAATAAAAAATTAAAAATAGGGATAATAAGTAATAACTATGAATGAGAAATAGAGAGAGAATGTGGCGGGAAAATTTAGGAGAGAGAAACTATAATGAGAATAGTATTTCTTTTTCTTTCCAACATTGATTTGTGTTCATAGGCTATTTTGAGTACCTTCTGTCTTTTTGCAGAGTGATAATTAATTGCTTTTACAGTTCAAATGTTATCTGTCATTTTCCTGCAAAAGAAATATTTTTTGGTACTATAACTTTCATACTTAGTCCACTCTTTTTCAGAAATTTTAATTTTAGTCCTTAAAGTTCAGTATTTTAGTCAAGTGACTTGCTATAATAGGTTAAACTTAGAGCATCTTCCAACGTCATCACTATTTTTTCACCAAATCCTATTTTTTGTGGTGCAAAAATGGGTTTATCTCCCACCCTTAGCACACCATTCTACGATTTCACTATTTTTGGTGAAAAAATAGTGTATTTAGTCTCCCACCAATTCCATCAGATTTTACACCAAATAATAAAATAATAATATTTCACCATTTTCCTATTTATAGATAATAGCATTTGGTTTGGTCTCCCATGGTATTTTACCAAATATATCACAAAACTATAAATTTAATGTTAATCATAATTTTAGCCTATTTTAATTTAAAAAATATTGATTATAGATCCGATTATAAGTAAAAAAATTATTAATTATATAATCTTAAAATTGTGATAAATTTCAAAAAAACTATTGAAACATGAATAAAAATGAACGTAAATTATTATACATATAATAAAATCACACATAAACATAATTTCATAACTTAATGCATAAAAATATTACAACAAAATTAATAAAAATAAGTTCATAACTTAATGCTAACTAAGTAGTTTATGTGTATTTCATTTATATAATTTGTCTTGTAATTTTTTTGTGACGTTATAATGTTATGTTTTAATTGTTTTTTGATAATAAATATATTTATTGTTTAAACATATAACTTATTAGAGCCAAACATATATTTATTTATTTTATAATAATAATAATAATAATAATAATAATAATAATAATAATAATAATAATAATAATAATAATAATAATAATAATAATAATAATAATAATTGTTGTTGTTATTATTATTATTATTATTATTATTATTATTATTATTATTATTTTCTATTAATATACTAATATATTTTCTATAAATATATTTATATACTAATATACTAATATATTTATATATTATCATATTCATTAATTAACACTAATATATTTTCTATAAATATGTTTATAAATTGGTAATCACATAAAATTAGCTAATATAATAATTTTATATGCTAATTATAAAATGGTGTTAATTACACCAAATCCTATTTTAATTTCTATATTTGATAGGAAAAATAGGATTTGGTGAAAAAATAGTAAAATGGTGGAAGGGTGGGAGATGCAAATTTCTTCACCAAAAAATTTGGTGAAAATATAGGATTTGGTAATATGGTGATATAGGTTTTGACCACAATGGGAGACTAAAACCAAATCATCATAATTTTAGGTGTAATGGCGATTTAGTGATTTGGACTGGGAGGTTAAAAACACCTAAATTAGGTGTAAAATATAGGAAATGGTGTAGGGTGGAAGATGCCCTTAAAGCTTACTTGTTATGTAGGATAATATTTTACGAAAAAGATAATTTTGTAGGTAAAATACTTACGTGGATAAACAAAAGAAACAAAAACATTTTTAAGTACTCTTTTAAAAATCTTGTTCTAATCCCTTTTTTTTTTCTTTAAGAGCAATGTACCCTTCTATTCACTTTCGGTAATATTTATTCTCACAGTCTTGTATTTATTATACTTGGTAAAATTATATTGAGTGGTTTAATACTATATATCTAAGTTCAATTACACACACGCACACACACATAATTATTGATGCGTGCAAAATGAGTAATTAACAAAGAAGTGTGTAATAAAATCATGCCCGATGAAGTGCACCTAGTGTAATATTGAACATACCTCTCTTCCTCCATTTCTTCGTCTCACCATCTACCATCTCTTTAGTTTAAATCCCTAACTTACTCATATTGCTTCTCCGATACTTTCCTAATGCGTAACCGAATACCTTAGTCGATATACTGCGTGTGAGTTGATTATTAATTTGAAGAAAAAAAAAATGAAAGAATTAATAATTGAAAAACAAAGTCATTTACTTTTTTAACCCAACCAATCATATATATAAAGGACCAAAAGCTAAAGTTGTATAATTTACAGGACCGAACTCTAAACTAGAAAAGATACGGGACTAAAACCAAATATTTTTCTGCGGTCCTTTTCAGAACCATAATTTTAAAGCTGCTCTACGTACGGTGGTGGCTGCCTTTATCCATTTCAAATCCTCGTTGTTTAAAACCATCCAACAAAAGACAAAAGTTCTCTGTGTAAAATAAAACCCTAATTCAGCTCCAAAGTTTCAGCCATGGCGTCTCCAGCTCCCACGCGCCGCTACTCTCAAACCCCCCGCCGTCAGCTCGAAATGCACCTGGACGCCCTTTACCAGTCCGTATTCCCGAGCGTGGTAGCAATCGAGAGCCACTTCGTCGGCCCCGATAATCGAGATCTGAAGCAGCCCGTCCGCCACAAAACCGGCGTCTTCGTCGGTCCGACCACAATCGTCACCTCCGCGAACGTCGTCGGACGCGTCCTCACCGACAAACCTGCCGCCGCCGTCCACAGATCCTACATCGCCCAAATCTTCGCGATCACCCGCGGCAGCAGCCCCCGACCTCTGAAGACGAAGGTCCTGGCGGTGAGCTTCGCCCACGACGTCGCCGTGCTGGAGGTGGTGGACGACGCCGCGCCGCCCGAGGGGACCTCGTTCACCCCGTGCTCGATCGCGAAGTCTCCGCCGCAGCAGGGCGACGTTCTGCTGGCGGCGGTCCACATGGTGAATATGCAGTTCGGAATGATGCCCGGGCACGTGAGGGCCGTGGGCGAGAAAACCTTCAACGTGAGGGCGCCGTGGCCGCTGGAAAACGGATCTGGTTGGGTTGAGTTCGACAACAGCCAGTTCAACGGCGGATTTCCTCGCCCGTGGAGTGATCTGTTCAAAAGCGAAGAAGAGATCACCGGTAGAAGCACAATCATGACCGGAAGTCCTTTGTTCAACAGTGACGGCGAGTTCTTCGGCGTTGCGTCATGGGATGTAAGCGAGAAGGGTTCGTCACGCCCGGTGAGCTTCGCTACGTCTCTGTTGCCGATCATGGTTGCGTTGGAGTACGCCAAGAACAAGAACCCGGATCATGACCCGGTTGTCATGGATACTTGGATCCAAGGTTAAATATTGATGATCAATTAATCAAGGGTTAGTACATTATATTCGTCCTCCTATTTAATTATGTGTTTTCATCCTATGTAATTAATATTTGATTATCTGATTTAGTATGACATGACTTCATGTTTTTGCAATGGTAATTAATAATTCAAATATATACTGTACCATTAATTAAAAAAAAATTGTCTGAAATGCTATTAAATAAATAATTATTCTTGAATAATCATCAATAGATATATATAGATGTAGGAGGATGTTCACTTGATTAAACGTTTGGAATTAATCATGATCTTGATCGAACAAGTCGGAACATCTTCGTAAACAATTGTTGTTGATGTTTTGGTTTACGTGTGGTTTTTATGTTTTCTTATATGTCGATTCTCTAAAGTTATAAATAGTTAGTTTCCACGTGATTTTTTGAAAGATTTGGAGCTTATGAGATATCTAATTAACCGTCACCATATGTCGATAATTAATGTAGTATATTATATATAAGATGGATCGCTAGTAAGACTTTAATCGACCGAAATTTAACGTATGTTTTATATTTGTGAAAGGGTGAACGATCTTATTTATTTTGAACCAAAAATTCATATAAATGTATGGTTTTTTTAGTTCTGATGATTCTAACAAGTGCATCAATGTGCAGGTAATTAAGCAACCAAGCTTCTTGTGATGTGTTTGGCTTTGTTGCTTTGCACGTGGATAGTTTGATCTTTTGGAATAATTGTTGGTCTGGTATGGCCTGTTTAGTGCATAATTGTTAATTAGATGAATGTTAATGGATCGTTTATTTCATCAAGTTAACGATACTATATAAATCGAGTGGTTTAGTACTATATATCTATTCGCAACCATACGTATTACATACATAATTATTGATGTGTGCAAATTGAGTAGTTAACAATGCATGTGCATAATAAATTAAAATTATGCTCGATGAAGTACATCTAATGTTATACTAAACAGAACGTTCTCTCTCCCCCGATTTATTAATCTCACCATCACCACCTCTACAAGTTTTCAACCCCTAACTTAGTCATATTGCTTCTCCAATACTTTCTTAATGCGTAACCAAATATCTTAGACAACATATTGTGTTCGAGTCGATTATTAAGTATAATTTGGAAAACCAAAGAATTATAAAATTAAAAAATGGAGCCAATTGCTGTGTCTTGTTTATTCAAGTTATAAAATATTGTTTTATAAATTAATTGTTAAAAAAATGCCAATTTCTTCATTAAAAAAGGATCAAATTTCTTCACTGGGCTTTGGGGAAAAAATTCCCTCCATTTGGTATTTTTGCCATTTGAATTTTCCCTCCAAATACACCAATTCACCAGCCACGTCACTTCTGCTTTCTTCTTCCTAATTTATTTTGGGGGCTATTTGTCAAACACCCTTCATTGAATTTGGATTTCATGATAAATCCATTTTATTAATTGATATTTGATATAAGTCCATTTGACTTAAATTGCCTGAAATGTCCCTATCATACTCTCTTTCCAAAATAACTTGCACAAATCTTACGCTATTTCATTCTTTTTCTTATTCTTCTTTTTTTTGCAGATTTTTTTATTTCAATTTTAAAATAAAATATTGCTTTTATTTTATTTCACTTTTTTAATTAGTTTTTCAATTTTTCCACTAGGTTTAAAAGAAAAATTTAACGCCCAATTTTATTTTTTTTTTTTGTTTTTTTTTTATTATTTCAGTTTTATTTATTTTTTTCCACCGGGTTAAGAAAATTAAAATCCACTATATACTCATTGGAAACTACTTCAAATTTATCGAAAACCACTGTAAAATTACCGTAAAATTCATAGTAAAATTAACGTAATCCACTTTAATATTAACATAATCCACATCAAACTTATCAAAATCCACTAAAAACATATGTAGTCCACTACTAACACAACTCAAAAAATAACAAACAAAAAAAACCGTAAATTCACTATTCAAAATTCACTATTTGAAATGTAAATCACTACTATGTCCACGAAAAAGTGCAAGACCAGTACACCACCACCACCAAGGCCGACGATGATCACTAAATCTATCTGAACAAGAACAAATTTAATTAGCAAATGAAAACCAATTTTCAAAAGTAAACCTTGGTGTCATACCATCGTTGGTGGGACAAAAATATGAGAAGCTTTCATAAACAAATTATTTTCAACCTACGTATATTGCATAAATCCGTTGAAACTAAAAATGAACGAGGAACAATGAAAACCACTATGTATAAACAACTATATAAACATGAAAACCACTATGTATAAACAATTATGTAAACATGAAAACCACTATATATAAATAACTATATAAACATGAAAACCACTATATATAAACAACTATATAAACATGAAAACCACTTTGTACACTTGTCGAAATTCACCATAAATTTATCGATAACTACTTTGTATACTTATCGAAATCCACTATCAAATTAACGTAATCCAGTATACAATACAACAAAAGAACAATAACAAACAAATAAAAAAAATTATTATACTCAGAATACCATGATGCAGTAAAAAACTAAAATCATTATTAGAATAAAGCCGAACACCATATAAAATTAAGACGGGGATAAAACTACAAATTTATAAAGCAAATTAAAATATCAAGTTGCGAACATGTTGTATGCAACTGGTCTTGTATTTAAATTTATACAAAGGCCGAAACCCTAAAAACCATTAATTGGGGGAAAAAAATATAAGAATAAGATTTATAAATATATAAGAATTGATCAAAATAGAAAAATAAAAAAATTCCCATTTCAAATTCATCTACAATTTCTAACCCAAACCACCAACAGACGTTGTCTCTTCTTTCTCCGTTAACAATTGTTCTCGACTTGGATCTGAATCTGCAAATAAGGGTGGGGGCTGGGGCGGCATCGGGCGAGGGCTGGGGCGGCGCCGTGCGGCGGCTGAGGCGGTGCCGGATGGGGGTTGGGGTAGTGCCGATGGTGAGAGAAGAAGAGGTGAACGGACGGAGATCTGCAACGGTGAATGGAAAGAAAAAAAGAAAAAAAAATTAGAGGGAAAAAAAAGAGATACGCGTTATATTCCAGGGCGAGATTTGTGGGTGAGATTGAGAAGAGATTGAGAACATATATTTCGTATATTTATATTCAACCCTAATATACATTATAATAAGATAAGGGTATAATTGTGATAATTAATTAATTTTTATTAATAAAAGATGTTTTGGATTTATCTTAAAAATAAGAATTAAATTTGGGCTCATTGTAATTGGACTTTTGTGATGAGGGGGTTTTGTGAAATAATCCCTTTATTTTGATTCTTTATTGTTAAATGACAATTGACAACTCATTTAACCAACCAATCATATACCTGGCCCAAAATTCTAAACGCTTATAACTCAAAGGACTAAACTCTGAAATATAATCATATACCTGGCCCAAAATTCTAAACGCTTATAACTTAAAGGACTAAACTCTAAAATATAATACATACAGGACTGAAGAAAAAACATTTTTCTGCGGTCCTTTTCAGAACCATAATTTTAAAGCTGCTCAGCGTACGGTGGTGCCTGCCTTTTTCCTTGTCTTTACCCCATTTCAAATCTGTACCATTAGACAAAAATTCTCCGAGTAAACCCTAGTTCAGCTCCAAAGTTTTAGCCATGGCGCCTCCTACTACCACGCGCCGCCACTCTCGAACCCCCGACCGACAGCTCCAAAAGCACTTGGAAGGCCTTTACCTCTCCGTAACCCCAAGCGTAGTAGCGATCGACAGCCACTTCCTCGGATCCAAAAATTGGGATCTCCAGAATCCCGTCCGTCACAAAACCGGCGTTTTCGTATCTCCGACCACGATCGTCACCTCCGCCGACGTAGTCGGCCGTGTCTTCGCCGAGAAACCGGCCGACAAATGCTGCGCCGCCGCCGCCGCCCTCCACAGATCCTACATCGCACATAACTTCGCGATCACTCGCGACACTCACCAACCTCTGAGGACGAATGTCCTGGCGGTGTGCTTCTCCCACGACGTCGCCGTACTGGAGGTGGTGGACGTGCCGCCGGAGGGGACCTGGTTCACACCGTGCTCGATCGCGAAGTCTCCGCCGGAGAAGGGCGGTGTTGTGATGGGGGTGGTGCATCTGGCTGACATGCAGTTCGGAATGATGCCAGGGCACGTGAGGGCCGTGGGCGAGAAAACCGTCAAAAGCAAGGCGCCGTGGCCGCTGGACGACGGATCCGGATGGGTGGAGTTCGACAGCCGCCAGTTCAACGGCGGATATCCTCGCTCGTGGAGTGATTTGTTCACAAGTAAAGAAGCGATTACCGGTATAAGGCCTCCCTTTACCGGGAGCCCTTTGTTCAACGGCGACGGAGAGTTCTTCGGCGTCGCGTCTTGGGGTGTGACCGAGAAGGGTACCCAACATTCGGTGACTTATGGTGCGTCTCTTTTGCAAATCATGGCTGCTTTGGAGTATGCCAAGAACAAAAAACCCGACGATCCGATTGTCATGGATACTTGGATCCAAGGGTGATTAATTGATAATTAAGGTAAGGATTACTATATAATTATCCTCTCTAATTATGTTTTTGATCAGCCTATACATATAATACATGACATGCTCAACTGTTTATTAATTGCTCAATTATTCTTGATGAATATGACTTAGTTTACAATTCTGCTGAATTGTTTTGCTAATTAACTAGTGTTTTTGGGAGTTTACTTCAATTAATTACTAGTGTTACGTTAGTTAATATATATATTATCTTGTTATTCGATATCAATTGTTGATCGCTGATGCTTCGTGGACTGGTGGTTTACGTGTATGTATATGTGATGTTATATATTTTTTTGTTTATGTCGATTCCATCACGCTATAAATAGTAAGTTTCCACGTAATGTTTCGAAAGATTTACTAGATTTTGGAACGCGTTCGTAATGTGTACGGAAAGAAATACATGCATGTTATGTTATGCTTTCTCTTGGGAGCTCACAATTACATACATGCTTGATAATATATAGTATATAAGTTCGATCGTTAGTAAGAGTAAAATCGAAATTTAACGTCTGTTTTATATTCCTCTCAATGATCGGACGAATGACCTTACTTTGAACGAAGAACTCATATAAATATGTGTTGTTTAATGCAATGATTGTAACATATGTGCCTTAATGTGCAGGTAATTAGATCAACCAAGTTTCTTGTGAAGAAGTGGTGTTTGTTGGCTTTGTTGCATGCACGTGGTGAATCTTATTATATATGACTTTTTATTTAATGAATTTCATCTGTTGGTTAAAAAACTTTTGGCTGTTATGGATAATTTATTTCATCAAGTTATCGTTAATTAATTTTAATTATTTTCTTTTAGGTACTATTTATTTTTTGGTTATACCATGCTTGCTTAGATTGTCGTGTTGTGACGCGTTTTTTTTTCCATTTTGCAAAAGTTTAATATAAGAAATATGCTTTATTTATGTACATGTTATCATCCATTTAAATCATATTTCATAATATGTAATTCTGATTCCATTATAAACAAATTAATTATAATAAAAATAGAGATAAAATAAAAATAGAGGTAACTATTAATGAGAAATAGAGAAAATCTGGCGGGAGATTCAGGAGAGAGAAACTATAATGAGAATAGAATTTGTTTTCTTTCTATATTGATTTGTGTTAATGGACTTTATTTGAGTTATTTCTGTCTTTTCTGTCCTTTAACATAGGCATAATTTGTCAGTCAAATATTATCTGTCCTTTCCTGCAAAAAAGATTTTTTGGTATTTTAACTTTCATAGTTAGTCCCACTCCATTTCAAACATTTTATTTTAGTCCATACATTTCAGAATTTATGTCAAGTGACCTCCTATAATAGATTAATGCTTTACTTGTCTTGCTGATATACATATATATATTTTACTAAAAAAAATTTGTTGTTAAATTCTTATGTGGATTAATAAAGTAAAATAAAACACAGCAAAAAGACAATTTTTGTATAGGAGATGTAACCAATCAATCCAATATTATATAGGACCAAAATTCCAAACTCTTATAACTCAAAGGACTAAACAATAAATTAAGAAATGTTATCCGTCTTTTTCAGAATCATAATTTCAAAGCTGTCACGTACGGCCACTGTCCGCTGGCTACCTTTCCCTCGCCGCTTTGTTCATTCCAATCGCTCTGCGCTCAAATAAAAAAAAAAAATATGAAAAAATCGCTGTGCTTAAACCCTAGCTCCTTCAAAGGATTAGCAATGGCGTCTCTCTCCTTCACGCGCCGCTTCTCCCAATCTCCGGTCCAACAAGCATTGGAACGCCACTTCCAGAAACTCCACAAGTACGTATCCGCAAGCACAGTACCACTGGATACCACCTTCTCCGGCCCCGATAATCGGGATACCGACACTCCCTGCCGCCTCCGCCGTACCGGCGTTTTCCTCGACTCCACCACCATCCTCACCTCCGCAAACGCAGTCGGACGCGTCGCCGCCGTGAAGCCGGACGGCTCCGACCGCCGTCGTCACAGATCTGACATCGCCACCACCGTCGCAATAACTCGCCAACGCACACAGCTGAAGACGAAGCCCCTCGCGGTGAGCTTCGCCCACGACGTCGCCGTGCTGAAGGTGGTGGATCCGCCGCCGGAGAAGATGACGTCCAGGTCGTTCCGTCCCTGCTCGATTGCAAAATCTCCGCCGAAAAAGGACGATATTTTGATGGCTATGGTACAAAGGGAGTTTGCTGAGATTGTGATCCCCGGAAATGTTAGGGCTGCTATGGGAGAGAGGACGACGACATCCAAAGTGAAGGCACCGTGGCCGTTGCAGAACGATTCCGGATGGATGGAGTTCGACTTTCACACCCATGGCCTTGGTGGCAGTATTGGCCGCAAGTCCGGCTATTCGTTTCACATTGACGAGGAGATTACCGGTACATTAATGACATTGATGAGCGGGGGGCCGTTGTTCAACATTCACGGCAAGCTCATCGGCGTTGGGTCGTGGGATGTGAGGGATGAGTGTCTTCCGTTTCCGTTGTTCTTTGCAGCTCCTCTCTCGCGAATCGTGGCTGCGGTCGAGTATGCAAAGACCAGGAAACCGGACGACCCGATTGTCATGGATAGTTGGATCAAAGGTTGATCGATTAAGATCAATGTCAACGCAACTTTGCTAAATTGTGTTGCTATGAAATCATGTGCAGCGCGCTTTTAATACATTTAATTTCGATTCGATTCGGTTTGATATGCTATTATGTTATGCTATTGAATATCAAACTTTGATTTGATTTGATGATGTTCCGAATTAACTAACGGTGTTCTTTTATGTCGTTTCAATAGTTCAACACGAATCGAAATTGGTTATATTGCTCTTATAACATCAATTTGGTATAAATAGTTAGAACCTAGCTAGAAACAAATTGAAATGCAGATTTTGCGATATATATCCTTTGCAGGTGATTCGACAGCTGATTTTTCGATTGATATCGAACGAGTCGACCCGACCCGACCATTACCCAACCCGTCTAAATACGGCAAAGACGACCATAATTAATATTGTAAAAATGTCAAAAACATAGAGTAATGTTGCACTATATATGAGTCTATGAATATAATTAAAAGTCCAATTAAAATTGAAATTCACTGTAATAAAGTTTGAGCTGAAAAGCTCATTTCGAAATTTAGAATGCAAAAATGAGATTTGGATTAAAAGTAGCACCATTACTTCACTAAGGTTTGATTTGATTACTATCCTTTCAAAACAAAGGAATGCACTGGTTATTTACATCCGGTGAAATTTTGATTTTGACAGTAAATTTGATTATATAACTATCCACTAAACACATATCAAATATAACATCTAATTTTCCGTTATACCAGTCAGTGACACGGAATATTATCAAATTACATTACTAACATAGTCTCTACTTACTATACAAACTACACGAGATGTGTAAATTACAGTGTGCAAATTCTATACAAAGAGCATAACTCAAAACAAATAAAGAAAAAAATTAAAATACAATAAAAGAACAAAATAAAAGAACATCAAATTCGTTTATTAATATAAAATTAAAAACTATTATATATATACTCATTTACTAGTAAATGGGCTGGCCCAATGTTACAATTTCTCATTGTTTATTAAATCACTTAGGTCCAGATATATTCCATAATTTAACAAAGTATATATATATATATAAATGGAGGTCCATTTATGGATTCTAATCTAATTAATATACCTGTACCACAGTACCTAATAATTGTCATTTCGGGCTCAAAACCGGGCCGAAATCAGGTAAAATGAAATAATTAAAAAACAATTACACCTTCGTTTATTTTTCTCGACCGACCTCTCCTTCACCGATCAACGACTCGACCCCCGACGACGGTGTTTTTGAAGTATTTTATCTCGATATTTCAGGTATCAACTTTATTTTCCTGGTTATAATGATTTTGAATTTTAATTTGACGTGAATTTTTTGTGTAATTCATGTATTTAATTATCGTCCTGTTTTAAAAAAAAAAATTAAATTGTTTGATTTTTAAAAACCCTAATTGAACCCTTGGCTGATTGATTGTTGGCGATGCTGTGTTGATCATTGACGAGGTTACGAGTTGGAGCTTCGTAGATCACACGTTTTGTTGAGATTTTTTATCAGTAATTATTAGATGTTAAGTTTGCAGGTTACAGTTTTCCTTTAGTAATTGTTTCGGGAAATGATTAATGCTGGTTTTGCATTATTTTTAACTATTATGGAAGTAGCTTGCGGAAATTTACCGGTCCGAATCTGAGCATTAGGTGATAAGTTCATTTAATGCTGGTTTTTCGTATGATCACAGGTGTAATTTATTGTTTTCTATTGGTAATTAAAATGGGTTGCTAGTTGTTACACTTTCTGGTAAAATCTGCAACAGAAAATTGAGTCACTGAATCGGAATTTAGCTTGTGCAAAGAGAAGCTTAATAGTTGTCGGAATTTGACCTTGGCTTCTAAAATCTGCTGGAGAGAAATGAGAAGAATCTGACTTCAAATTCTCCCTAAATAGGTGTATTAGTTACGGCTCGAGCTAGTTGAGAGAAAATACGAATATAGAATCATAAATTAACTTCATTTCTTAACTTGGAAACTCAGTAACGGCACTTGTTCTGTGAGAAGAGCAATGATCCCTGACAATTCTGAGACAATTGTTATCAATAGAGATTTAAAACTTAATATAAAAGTTTCAAGTATATAAATGGTGCTACTGGTATAGATTTAACAATGTTGTTTTATTTAGTTGACTTGGTCTAGTTTCTATTCTTCTCCGTTTGACAAACATTTATGAAATGATCTTTGGAGGAGTTTGTTCATGCATCTGTAGAATTTCCACTTCAAAACAAACTGGCAGATGCAGCAATCAAAATAAAGAACTGAATGTGGTGATAGATCTTCTGATCTACGTAATTGTGGTCCCTTTTGCTGCAAATGCACTGTATTATTATGTAGCTCCAAGTCTCTTAAGTTCCCTTCCATTATTGTGTTATTTTAGACTTTGCTATGGATTTCTGATTTCGTTTCAGATTTTGAGGTGAATTTCCAACTAACATGCATCTGACTTGTTGAGGCTGGGTTTTATTTTGGTTGCAGGTCTATCATTGTCCTGTTATCTTATTCAATTTAAGCAGTGGGTTTTAATGCGAGCTGATTATAGAAATTCAACATTGCCATGCACGATTGTGTTAACTGTTTTTTCAATAGAGAGAGCGTGTGGAAACTGATTCCATGGCAGCATCTACCAAGTTTGATCTTTCTTCTGGTAGCCCAGATAAGCCACTATATGCATCTGGGCATCGTGGATCTTATGGTGCCTCTTCACTGGAGAGATCAGGCAGCTTTCGTGAAAACATGGAGAACCCGCTCTTATCAAGTCTGCCAAACATGACAAGAAGCACTTCATCTGTAACTCAAGGAGATGTGCTCAATTTCTTCCAATGTGTGCGTTTTGATCCAAACTCCATGGTTATAGAGCATAAGTTGAACCGTCCACCGGAGTTTAAGCGGCTTGCAAGTGCTGCTGTTGGCATTACACAGGAAGATTCTCTACCTGTGTCATCAAAAAGCAAACAGCTATCTTCTCCCCCACTAGAGGATCTCAGACGACTCAAATCTGGTGTGCGAGAAAGTGTTACTAAAGCTAGGTAATTGCTATTCATTTACAGGCGCCTTCCTATCTGCTTTACTTTCTTAAACAAGTGGCATATTATTATTTCACCTTAACTAGGGAGCGCGTGAAGGTATTCAATGACTGTTTATCAGTAATCAACAAGTGTTTCCCGACTATCCCATCGAGGAAGAGATCCCGATTGGATGGCTTGTCTAATGACCGATCCAGCACATTATTGTCAATTGATCGATCTGCTTCTGGAATGGGCATTGTGAAAATGGGACCGCAAAACCATGCTAGTACCAGTGGTTTTGAAACGGATCCGCAAAAACCTGAACAAAGGACCAAGAATACCATCCCAAACAAGCGTACTCGAACTTCCATGGCCGATCCTAGGGTTTGTATTTTTTCCTTTCTTGTTACTTCTATTTTTTGTTACTTCGATTTTTTTGTTTCTCTATTTGGCGTTCCACTAAGATTCTGCATAGTTATTGATTTTTTTTTCCCTTCATATTTTGCTTGTTTTTAGTTCACTCATACTTAATTTTTTTGTAAGTTACATTACAATGCCTTTAGTGAGCTGAACCTCCCATGAACTAGAAGATTTTGCCAAACTATCTCTAGTGGTGACCTTTTCTTCCCTCCCCCCAGTTTTGTTTCCATTAATCACATGGGCTGTTACTCTTGTTTGATTGAAAGCGCTAATCAGAAAACTATTGTATGGAGTTCTGACTTTTTGTATCTTAACACTTAGAAGGACGTACGTGCACATAACTTTATAAGACCATCTGGAGCTGGGGAGAAGGACAGGGATGTGGTAAGACTTTCTAATAGTACTGCAGTCCAGGGTGAGGATCGAACTTTATCAGTTGCTGTAGATGGTTGGGAGAATTCAAAAATGAAGAAAAAGCGAACAGGTATAAAGCTAGATGCTGCTGCTAGTTCAATGACGGCAAAACCAGTTGATGGTTACAGGGAAACCAAACAAGGAACTCTTCCACGGCTCCCTACAGAAGTTCGTTCAAGATTGACTGATGCACATATATCCAGGTACTACGCTCTACGACCATAATTCTGTATAGTGGATAATTTGGCCGTAGGGCTGAACATGTTTCTAAATTTATGGCCTTAAAGTTATCTATCTGGTGGGTGAATACATAAATTGTCAGCCCTCTTATAATAAATAACTTTTGGACGCGGGGAATCTTTTTATTAGGGTAATAATTGATTACATACTTTCTTGTTCGAATGGAAACCTAGTCATATCAGTGCAAAAGGAGAGGTTCAAATAATTGTAGTAGAAAGTATCTATGCATCTACCATAAACATCCTTATTTTAAAACCTATTTAGAACAAAAATAATGATGCATGTTTATCTGTTGATTTATCTTCAATTTCCTGGTCTAATATAACATGCCTTGCTGTTTGTTTAATGTTCTACACATCATTAATTTCTTCTGGTATGAATATTATGGGGGAAGCGTCTGTACAGAAATGAAGACGTCTGCCTTTTTGAGCGTTTTGATTTCAGTGTTGAATAGCATTATTAGCATCTAGATATGACGTGCCATGTAAAATGTGCATGCTCGGCTTGTTGCATACTGGGTGTGGATAAACAAAACAAAGAGAGAACATTTATTAGAGGGAATGAAGGGAATTCAATATTTTATTGTTCAAAATCTGCAGTTGTATTGGGACATCAATAATGCATTGAAATAAAGGAGTAAAGTCGTTTTGAGGATTTATTCACGTTATGTTGCATTTTAGTATTCATCTTCATTTCCTATCACTTTCATTGATAATCATTTGTGAAAATTTAGTTTTAGATAACAAGGAAACCAGGCTTTTTACTTGCTTCTAAATAGACACGTCTTTTTTATGTAAAGTTAGTAACGCGCAAACATTGGATCTTTATTTATATTTCTGTATTGAATTTTTCTAGTAGGTGGTTCTTTTATTCTTTATTTTCTTATGCTACTTTGTGAAAAAAACTTCTATTAGTAATATGAACCTAGACACAAATCACTGTTTTCCTCCCTTGTAATTCTGATATGCACCTTGATGTAGATCTGGCAGTTCTAATGGAGGCATCGGAATAGGAAAAAGTGAGGCGACCTCACAGACCTGCTCTGGCATGCGGTCATCTATATCTAAGGCTGATTCTGATAATAGTTCCCTTCTACATGAGAAGAGAGAGCGTCCAAGTGGTCAAGAGAAAGAAAGGGTGAACCTGAAAGCTGTAAACAAGTATGAGGATATCTTTATCTAAGTTTTTTCAAGTACTTTTAAAGTTTCTATTGATGGCATAATCTAAGAATTCTTTGTAGTTCTGCCTTCTTATTGCTGAAAGACTCTGTTTTACTGCTTGCAAAATTAGTTAGTATTGTTTTTCAAACATTTTGAAGAGTAAAAATAGTAAGTCTTAAGTATTGTACAAATATGTCTTCAATTCTTAAAATTGCTTATATGTTCAGTTTCAACAGATTATTTTCATGTTTGCTGAACACATTGCTGATATTTATACAGAGGCCTTATGTACAAGAATTTTGTGTAACAAGCTGAGCATTATTTATATCTATGCTTCAGCTTGAAGAAGAGTGTTAGATAATATCTAATCTGCTAGATTATATTTCGTAGATGGTATTAAATCTTTTGTCTATCTTTGGTATATGGATCTGGTTGACCCATTACCTTCACCCTTCGTCCCATCTCTAAATAAGAGTTGATATTCAATAAAATAAGCATTTAGCCTTTTCTACCTCCACACCCCCTCCAAATACCCAGATCCACACTTTGAAAAAAAATTCTCAACGAAATAGGATTAGTAAGTGATGGTGAAGACCAGCCATTTCAGTTACATATAATCCTTAGTATTCAGGGGCAACCTGGAGATATAAGAACTTAAACCTGAAGTCTTATGCATATTTTAGTGAGTCTTTCCCATAACTTTTGCATATATGATATGGGATAACCTCTTACTTCATCATTTTTACCCTTTGAAGGGCAAATTCACGGGAAGATTTCAGTTCAGGCAGCCCTACTTCAGGCTCAAAGTTGAATGCAAATGTTCGGGCCCCACGGTCTGGTTCGGTTGGTGGGGTTTCCAAATTGTCTCAAGTGGTGAACCGGTCCCCATCCTCAAATGACTGGGAACTTTCTAACTGTACAAACAAACTTCCTGGTGGCCTTGGGGCTAACAGTCGTAAACGGACAGCTGCGGCACGGTCTTCATCTCCTGTTGCCAATTGGCCTCAGAGGCCCCAAAAGATTTCTCGAACTGCTAGAAGAACTAATTTATTACCCATTATTCCTGGCAATGATGAGAACCATGCTGCGGATGTGACATCGGACATTAATGTATCAGAAACACGTTTTCCTGCCAATTCTCCCCAGCAAGTGAAAATAAAGAGTGACATTTTCTCTCCAGCTGCATTATCTGAAAGCGAGGAATCTGGTGCCACTGAAATTAAGTCGAGAGACAAGAATAAGAGATCTGATGGGATAGATGAAAGAAGTGGCCAGAATATCCAGAAAATATCAACCCTGCTGCTAACACCAAGAAAAAACAAGCCAGTCACTGGGGATGATAGTGGAGATGGTGTTCGGAGGCAAGGAAGAACTGCTCGAGGATTTACTTCCTCTAGGTCCCTCTTGCCTTTGTCAACGGAAAAGCTTGGGAATGTGGGAACAGCGAAACAAATGAGAAGTTCTAGACTTGGTCTTGACAAGAGTGAAAGGTTTAATTTCATTTTTCTTGTTTTGTGGTCTTTATTTTTTCTAATTTTCTCTTCTTGTTGATGCTCACTAAGATTGTGATTGACATGTTATGGTGAACTTTCTGTTCAGCAGAGCTGGTCGACCACCTACTAGAAAAATTTCTGATAGGAAGGCTTTTAAACGCCAAAAGCATACTACTATCAATACTGGAGCCGATTTTCTTGGTAATTTGATCATTAATGTTGGAACAAATATGATATACTTCGTGCATTTCCTGGCAATTGATTGGCTATTCCTGAATATATGTAACAGTTGGTTCTGACGATGGTCATGAAGAGCTCTTGGCTGCCGCAAATTCTGTTACAAACACAGGTATTATAGATTTAGAAGTCTCAGTTCTCTTGATTTTACTAAAAACTCGTTCTCTTGGCAATAATAGCCTATCATGTAATGCAGCTCAAGCTCTTTCTAGCCCATTCTGGAAGAAGATGGAGTCCTTGTTTCATTTTATATCTGATGTGGACGTATCTTATTTGAAAGACCAGGTGGGTTTGATTGTTTTGAAATATCTCTTACTCTAATCCAGCAAGAAGAGATTTCTCCCAAAGTGACTTAGTCTATAGTTAATGCTGCATATATTAAAGTAACATCTATAACTATTTATTGTTGCACGTAATAATGAGTGATCATCTTTACTGATATCTTTTATTGCCTTTTAGCATTTTAATTGTATATTCAGTGACAAACCGTGAAAGTTATTTACCTTGTTAATGAGAGCATTAAATTTTGTACCTCATCAATAGTCAGTATCTTGCCATGAGCTCCATTCTTAACTATAATTAGCAGTATCCTGGTGAGTGTCTCTGAGATTAAATTGAAGATTTCTTGGACAATGACTGCAATAAACCAAATTTTCTGATGTCTTCATGCTAGTATATGTGCTGTGATATATACTGCTTGATTTACATCCCGCCATTCCTTTGTCTATTCTGTTTGTTATCTTAAGTCATAACTTTAGTATTGTAGAAATCCTCATTTGCGATATAATTTTTTGCGCATACAGCTCCGAGGACTATTAAAATACTTGTGATCAAGAAATGTTGTTTTCCTGTATGCTCCTGCATACCTGTGCGGTGTGGTCGTATATACTCGTATTACACAGGATGTGTTTTAGCGATGTTTACAGACAATAAAATCAAACGCAAATTTAATAAATAATCACTTGGCAGTGATGGCTGAATAACAGTTTATGTGCTCCCGTTGTTTGCTAACTATGTTTTTCATACCCTACAGTATCCTAATTTTTCCTTGTTATTTATGCTTCTCTTCTAGGTTAATCTTGGTTTAGATGTGGATATGCTGGCTCCAGTGCCTCGAGACGCAGGTAGTTGCACTTTAGTACCTAATGGTTGTGGCTCAATTGAATTTGGGAGAGAGGAGATTGAAGGGATAAGTGTGGAACTTAGCCCAGAACATACAGCTCTAGGAGCAAAGACACCAAATGAGATTCCCCTGTACCAGAGACTACTAGCAGCTTTGATTCCCGAGGAAGGACTTGAGGTTCTTTTCAGTAGTGGAAAAGAGGACCTCAAATATGATGTCTATGGATCTCGGTTTGAGATGGAAAAGGATATAGAATCAGATACTTTCGCCTATCAGATGTCATCAAGTTGTGAACCTTCTGGATACCCTACTTCTAATGGTTACAATGTAAATTCTAATGGAAGATCATTTTATGAGCTGGAGAACAATACTATGTCCGTTCCAGACACAGGGATACCAAGCTACGATCATTTACAAAATGGTTTACTTGCAGACCAGTTGATACCTGCCACAGTATGTTCGGAATATCAGTACTGTAATATGTCTATAACTGAAAGACTTCTCATGGAGGTTCACAGCCTAGGAATCTACCCAGATTTAGTGGTATGTTCAATTTGCTCTCTGTGAAGGTGTCTGATCTAGTTCATTTTCTTCTTTTTACTCTGTTTTGTGAAGCTCCTTTTCATTATTGTTAGTGCTTGTACTCTTTTGATCAGTCTGATTGGGCACAGAGTGGGGATGAAGAATTAACTGGAGATATCAGTAGTTTGGACGAGAATTACCAGGAACATGTAAGATGTGATTACAGCCATAATTGTGGAAATTATTTACTCTTATATTATTATACAAGCACATCAAATTGAAGACTTAGAGTTTGGTAGCTATTGGTAGTTGACTTATTTTCCTCTTTATTTATTTGGTATGTATTTTTTTCTGCTGCATTGCTGCTAATGCACACTACTTAGACACACACAAAAATACTATGTTTCACTGTATAAATGATTTCATATTACGAAGAATGTAACATAGGTTAATATTACCCATGCTATTTGCCCAAGCCTTAAGGAAACATCACCAAACAACCACGATACCTGCAACTCCCTCACCCCCTCTCTTTTTTTTCATCTCTACAGTGTTTCTTTAGATATTTACTCTGCACCAATATTTGATCTATAGAGTTCAGATTTTCTGCATTTGAATTTGATTTTTAATTTTTCCTGCTAAAAAGTAATCCCTTATATGCAGACCGTAAATCATTTTCGAGCCTTGGTATATTGTCGCATTTTCTTTACTGAAGATTCTAGTATCGTAGTCATGTTGCAATCTGTTCTCATTGTTAAGTCAATGTTCAGGTTTCAAGGAAGAAAAGTTTGCTGGGCAAACTTCTAGGTTCTGCTTCTGAGGCTAAAGAGATCCAGGAAAAGTAAGAAGTTTGTTCATCCTTTTTGTCTATAAAACTGGCAGTACAATCTCTGAACAACTTGTTAATTCTGATTATAATTAAGCACCTTCATTATTTTTAGGGAGTTTGAAGGTCGCGCACTTGACAAACTTGTGGAAATGGCCTACCAGAAGTACATGGTAATTATCACCTTCATGTGTGCATTATTCCTTTTATAAATGAATGATATATAAATTTCCTTGTAAAATACGATGTGCATATTTGGTAGCATAAAAATCGACTAATTATCCATTTTACTTGAATATCAACTTCTTATCCTCGACATATTTTTGACACTTGGATACTTGACTAAATATGACCCTGTTTAATTTGTCACAAAATTCTTTTGAAATCTCTTGGAAGTCTCTTTGGGTACAGCTACTCAGGAATTATAATCTATTGATGACTCATATCCAAAGTTAACGTGAATATTTCTTGTCACCTACTTGAATGCATATGGAGCATCGTTTCATTTAAGTTGTCTCTGTTGTCTTGTATTTCTGTCTTAAAGATCGCCTTATATTGATTTGACAAGAGTTTCTAGAAACAAGGGTAACAAATCCAGCTCAGGTAGCTCAAAAAGTTTATGGAAGCAAATTGTAATTGCACCAGCCATTATTAGGTTTCTCCTTAGTATCATGGCATACTCTATGTAACTGGGCGCTGTAATGACTTGGTCTGCTTTAACATTCAAGAAAATAGCATATGGCACTTGTTCTGCATTAGCAGACATGAAATTGTTTAATTGAGGGGTTTCCTTTCAAATTTACGTTTCCCCTGCAGATATGTTGGGGTCCTAATGCTCATGGGATGAAAAGTGCCAGTGGTAAAATGGCCAAACAAGCTGCCTTAGCTTTTGTTAAACGTGCTATGGAAAGATGCCAGGAATTTGAGTTGACAGGAAAAAGCTGCTTTGACGATCCTTTGTATAGAGATATGTTCCTTTCTGGATTATTGCGCCCTATTGATGGACAATCTTTCAATTCTAGCACTGATAACGAATCTGGCAAACTTCATGCTGGCACATCTGGATGCTCTGTGGAGGTTAGAACATCAGGTACGTGGCACATACAAATTTTAGGATGCTTATCAACCGATGAGGTGGTGGTTCCTTCGCAATTCCTTTCTCATCTTTCCGTTGAGGAAATAATAATCCCTTGACTTAATCGACTATGTCATTTTTTTGGATGCTTTTTGTTATGCAGCTCCCATGGGCACACATCAGAGCCCTACTTCAAACAATAACGATACATATTCTTCTGAAGTATTCCTATCGACGAATCTGGATTCCGAACAAATTACTGGTAAAGAAGACAGTTGGCCAAATAGAGTGAAAAGGAGGGAATTGTTACTTGATGATGTAGGTGGAACAATCAGCACAGCTCCAGGTGTTTCGTCGGGGCTTGGTGGTTCTCTTCCGTGCAGTGCGAAAGGCAAAAGGAGCGAGAGGGACAGAGAAGGAAAAGGAAACAGCAGAGAGGTCTTGTCCAGAAGCGGAAATGCTAAAATTAGCCGCACTGCATCGACCACTATAAAAGGAGAGAGAAAGTCTAAGGCCAAACTTAAGCAGAAAACCACTCATTTGTCTGCTTCGGTCAATGGTCCTCTAGGCAAGATGTCAGACCAAGCAAATGGAATGTTCTCATCGACGCTTAAATCAAGTGAGATTAGTGGAAGTGACATTGGCAAGGATAAAATTGACTATAACATGGAAATGTTGGAGGACCCCATAGATTTATCTAGCCTTCAACTCCCTGAGATGGATGATTTAGGTGTTACTGGAGATCTAGGTGGTCAAGTTGAGGATTTTGGATCATGGTTGGGTACGGGAGATGATGATGGATTACATGATCATGATTTTATGGGTGGTCTTGGGATCCCAATGGATGACTTGGAAGACTTAAATATGATGGTTTGAGACCACAATTGTGTATATTCTTGTACCTTATACAATCACAAAATAAAATACAAAAAAGACGTACTTATGAACTGACCAGACACATGGGGGGTCATGCAATTATCCAGACTACAGTTAGGCTATATATTCTTTAGGCTAAGCTCTGCGCAAGTTGATTTTGAAGTGAGTGTTCTCCTGCTTATGGATTTTCTTCGTATCCAAGTTGTTGTCAGTCGACTGTAAAGATCTTTGGTTTTATGTGTAAGCACGCATGTTAGTGGCAAGGTCTTAGCAAACACTGTTTTTTGTTCTAGCAGACAGTAGCAGTTACAGATCAGGAACAACGCCCCTTGTACATAAATTTATTTTTCAATAAAATCATGTTTTTTTTTGTAATTCATAATTCCTGTACGAGCCATCAGATATTCACCTTTTACACAAATGAGCCTGCTATTGGATTGCACATCTAGTTTGCAATCAGTAACTTCTTATTTATTATCCATCGGTTCAGTTTCACTCTCTCGCAGGTACGAGTTTTTTACGGATTAGGTGATGGAGAACCTCTGTACTTGTCATCCACCCGATGTTTCCATGAGGATGAAGAACATGCATTGGTGGTCAAGGTAAGTGGTGATACAAGGGCTGGAAGATCGCCTTGTAGATTATTTGAACTGTTTGGTTACAATACTATATTTTAGGTTCACTTGTTATTTGAGCACGACATTCACGCTTTGTTTAGTCATCCTTGTCAAATTGTTCATTTTACGATTTGAAACAGCTTGTGCTCTTCATTAGTTTCTACAACCTTTACTTGAAGCATTAACTATAGCATTTGGTTGAACCTTGGGAGACTACCCGTGTCAAGTGGTTCTAATTTTTATTTTTTTTCGTTCTTCTTGGTAAACATATTCATATTCTAGTACAAAAAATACATAAAGTGATTATACTTGTCAAAGATTTTCTGGTGAATTTTGCTTCGTTTGTGATAGTGGTGCTAAAATTGGCAGGATCTAGTTAGAGGCTGTTTATTACTCAGTTCAGGGCGCAAATCTGATCAAATTATGGTGGATTTGGTTCTTATCACTCTCAGGCTGCTTAACATCTCATCCTTGTATATTCAAACGGCAGCCTGTATCCGAAGATTTCGTGGCCATTGAGTTAGTTTGTTAATATTTCGTATGATATCACTTGATAATTTCATTATATCCATTTTACCCACATTGCGCTTGGGCTGTTCTAATTGTAGTTGTAACACGGAAAAATCTTTCTTGCGGGTCTGAGAGTATTATCCCTTCTAGATATTTCGAGATCATAACATTGTTTATATCTGTCATAATATCACTATGCACTGTTCTAATCTCTAGTTCTTTATTTATTTATTCTTGTACCCTTGGAGTACAATCAAACTCACAATTCGATGATTATAAAGTTTATATTTGTCTTGAGGTTCAGAAAGAAGTTCCTATTTGCAAACAGGCAACGTTCAATTCGTCTAAACATGGGAGCCTAGCTGTAAAGAAACTGCGTTCATCATAGACTCGGATGCACTAAGAGCAGGTTAGCTTGATATTAGTTGCATCTTGGAGTTGTTTCTCTCTCTTCACTTTGTCGTTTTTTTATCCTTTATCATCAACATATCTGGACCATCTGGTTATCTCTTGTTTAATTTTCTCTTTTTTTCTTTTTTCTGCTATGTGTCTATATTTACATGCATTGCATATTTATCCCTTTGAGGCTTTGTATCTATTGTTTATGGGCAAATTACGAAAAAACCCCATTGTTTGGGTAATTATGGCCACCCCCTCCTTTTAAATATTTTTACGTAAAATTTATGTAATTCAGATATTTACCGAACCAAATCGTATATTTAGTTCGGTAAACGGTATGAAATTCTAGCGTACCGAAATTTCGGGGCAGTTTTACCGAATTAACGTCCCTAAATTTACCTCTGGAGTAGTCTTTTCGTAAGATAATACATAGTTGAAGGGGCGGCTGTAATTACCCAAACAAAAGGGGGGTTTTTGTAATTTGATGTAACTTGGGGGTTGGCCGTAATTTGCCCATTATTTATCCCCAAAATAGGGATTTGCTTTTTACCGTTTGAAAATTGCTATTTACCGTTCAAAGACACTCTCTCTCTCTAAAAAAATCGCTCTCAAGACGATTTCTTCACAAATCATTCTTATTGGTGTGATATACGAACATAAATGAGTTCATCGGATGAAGATCTGGATAGCGGACACAACGAGGTAAAAATTCCGTCTTTTCGATCGAAAAAAATGGCCTAAACATTCAAAAGCCCATCTCGGGCGCCCGGCCGTGCAGTGCA